GATTTTATACGAAAGAATGCATCAGTTCAAAAATTCATTCAGAAATACCATAACCATTCAACTTAAAAAGAAGACCATTTTGCCAAACCCTGTCAGATACTTTGTGATATCCAAAGCAACAGCATGAGCTTCACCATTTTTATCTAATCCTACTGCGCTGGAATTTATTTAGAAATTATTTATTTATTTGATTTTATTTGTTTCCTAAATAGGAGTAGCTAGGCTGGCCTATCGTCCGGTTTAAACTCCTCCTAAATTTTACCAAAACGGATCTTCAACTAGTGATATTTTTAATAAAAATAAACAAGATTATGAAAAGACCTTAAAAAATATTGGACACAAAAGCAAATTAATATATGTTGATACCCATAATTCCCCTAAAACGCAAGGCAAACACAAAAATAGAGCCAGGAAGATATGATGGTTTAACGCTCCCTATAATTTAGCAATTAAAACTAAAATAGGAAAAATGTTTTTCAAATTACTAAAAAGAATTTCCCCCCGACCAATGTATTGTACAAAATTAAAAAAAAAACTATGTTAAATTAAGTTATAGTTGTATGCCAAATATGACTAACTTAATTAATAAATATAACAGGAAAACAGACAAACCACACCCGAACCCCCGCCTAAATGTAACTGTAGAAATAAGGACACCTGTCCACTTAAGGGCAGGTGCCAACAGGAGTGTGGTTTACAAAGTCGAAATGTACAAAAATAAACCGAATAATATTGATAAGAACCCCAAATTTTACATAGGATCCACCCAAGGTAACTTAAAAACAATGTTACTACAATCATTTAAGTAACTTTAATCACGAAAATTACAAATATAGTACCAGCCTGTCTACTTACATATAGAAATATAAAACAAGAAGATGGTAGTGACTCTTTTTAAAATGGGAAATATTTAGAAAATGGTATAAATATAAAGCAGGGGACAAATTTTGTTCGTTATGTATGGAGGCGAAATTAGTAATCACCACCTACAATAAGCCTAATAATTTATTAAATCAAAGATCTGAGATTCTAAATAGGTGTAGGCATATGAAATCCGGATTATTGGAATAGAGGTTTTGGATTTGTTTCTCTTCTTCTTTCACGTGGTTTTTTGTTTTTAAAGGTTTTATCAATAAATACTGTTTCGTCATTTCCTTTTTAACCAGCTTACCCTCGACCTGTTCTAATGTTTTTAGTTCTTTCTTTTTTCCAATTTTTTTTCTCGGGTACCGATTTGTTTTGGCATATCTAAAAGTTGTGCTATTCAAGTTTTTTTCCAAATGAGTATTACTATTAATATATATAATATATATATATATATATATATATATATATATATATATATATATATATAGCTAATATTAGTGGTAAATATACACATACATATACACATAAATATATATACATAGGTGCATAGACATACATGTATATTTTTTTAATAAAAAATTCCAAGAGGATAGAATCCAGGTAGAACTCAATGTCCAGGACAGAGTAAGGATATAATAAAAAGACTTAAACACTAATATTCCATGGTTATAATTTATTCCATTGTCTGTTACCCCTCTCTTTAGCTCTCACATTCCTCCCACACTCTCATACTTACACTCTCTCTAAATTCGATTTTTATTTCCGGAGTTGTTTTTTTTTCTGTTTTCTTTTTGAATTTGTAGGTCGGATGAATTGGATCGTATTAACGATTCCAATGGAATAACTTATGACCATGGAATATTAGTGTTTAAGCCTTTTTATTATATATATATATATATATATATATATATATATATATATATATATATATAATTGTGCATTTGAACAATCCTCTTTCATACAAGTTTCATTAAAAAAAAAAGACTGATAAGGTACTGCAGTTCAGTTTTTTTTTTTTTAATTTTTTCTTGCGTGCTTATAATTTTCTTCTTTTCAGCACATAAATTATAAGTTTGTAGCTGATTTATTTTGTTTCGTTGGTGATATACGGATTAACTTGCTACTATCGGATAAATGATCATTTTATTATTGAGTGTTGGGTTTTTATTTTCATGATTAATGCTTCCATTATTTTTTGCATGTCGATGAGGCGTATTTTCTACGAGTATATCTGGAGTTTGGTAGGTTTCCGAGTGTGTTTAAATGGATCCTAATTTAGCTATGGTCAGAGAGGAATAACGCGAGTTTTCTGGTCGCAACAGTCGTAGAAAATACGATATATATATATATATATATATATATATATATATATATATATATATATATATATATATATAGTGGATGGCTACTCGCATCCAAGGATTCCCGTGTAACTAGCTGATCCCTGTTTCAGAGGCCTGCTCAGGTACATTTATCTTTTATGTTCAACACCCACAGAACCCACCCACTACTAGGCTGAGTGGACGTTAGTTACAGTTTCTGGGAGAGAGCGCGTTATCTAACATGATCAACGGTCTAAACAGGAATTTGAAAACCTCGGTCACGATGACTTGTGACTTTGTGCTAGCACAAACACCGACGGCTCCTAAAGGATTCCGTCTAACAAATTTTACTCACAAGACTGGAGTCAATTCGTGCTATGGTTTTTCAGACATTTTCCAAAGCTGGCCCATGCTGGCATTGCTTCCTCCAGACCGAAAACATCAAAAAGTGAATGTACTAACCTCTCAGTTACATGACCATATACATCTGGCAGCAAGGCTCATAACGGGAGATTAGAGGTATTGAGAAGCGTGGTACCACCTGTTAACTGGTGTTGTTCCTAGGTACACCCTGACCTGATAAAATGACCAACAATACATTTTTATAGCCAAATGACAATCAATGCAACATTAAAAAAATATATATTTTTATACTAAAATTACCAACAATACATTTGTCGATCTACAAGATATATATCTATAAAACACCTTTACTCTGAAAGTATATAATTATGTACAAAATATTTAGATTTCGTCATAGAGATTTTGATATGCCGCTAAACAAAGTCAACCAACAATGTGTATATATCATGTTAGTAAAATCTGATTAGAACGCGAAACTAAATTTTCCTTACTGAAAATATTTGTTCACTTCGGCCGTATTAAGGGTATGTTGTTTCGAGTTTTTGTTCGGACGTTCGAGCTTCTCACAAGTATGTGAGTGTTCTTGTATTCGGCCATTTTGGGCGCTTATATATTTTCCGGTTATCCAGTCTTTTTCTATGAGTGTGAATGTTTACTTGCTTTATTATATTGGTGCTCCCACTGAGATATCGTTCGAGGCTCGATTCTGTCCATGCTGGATTTTAGGTCCCATTCTATGCCAGATCTTGGAACTCCTGGGTCTTTAAACTTCCTGAGACAACACAGTACAAAGCATAATTTGGTAACTATTTGCGCTAACCCCTTACATATTAAGGTCACCACAGTTCATCTCCTTTTAGAATAAAGTTTCATATCGGATATTATATTCAATACAGCCTATTTTGTATCTCCTGGCGTCAGTCACATCCTACATATATTTTCATCTTTATATGTTGATATTCTGAATTCTTTGAATTCTTTTTTTCTGGTGTTAACATGCGTTGCTCGACAATTTTCTATTTTTGTAAGTCATTTTCGATTTCTGATATGTTGCTTTTCTTTTTTTTCTCTCTTCCTTGTTTATTTTGTATTTTGCTGAGTCTACAACGTCTTGTAAGTTTGTCTGCATAGTTTTAATTCTTGGATATTTTATTTCTTGAACCAACCACTATTTAATATGCGTCCGTTAATAGAGAAAAAAAAAAACAATGCAGAAAAATGTCATTTAACCAGAATTGCTTTTTGCGGCAGACATTGATTCTTACATTTTTATCTCTCTGGTGGCCTGACCTCAAAATAGCCTCAATGCCCGCTGTTTTTAGTAAAAAGCTCACAATATGTGACAAATGAGGTGAAAAGCATAAGTTTCATTTTCACCCGTACGCGGGAGCACGAATACATATATATATATATATATATATATATATATATATATATATATATATATATATAGAGATAGAGAGAGAGAGAGAGAGAGAGAGAGACAAAGTGTTATTTTGTATAGCTTGGTCTGTTCGATAGATGCATCGGTCAGGATGTTAAAGGGTGATATTTCTTTGGCGGGAATCAACAGCTATGTGTTGGTTAGTCCCTGAAAAGCGGACGATGGCGTTAAAATGGCCCATTCTACCCACATTCAATTTTTAAAGGCTAACATTTAAACAAGTCAAAGGAAGACAGTGACAGTCAAACAAAAATCATTTTCATGCACAACATTCCATCTCATGTTACTAGTGAAACTAATGAACACTGATGGAAATTAAGAGGTGGAAACAACAGGCTTATGGTGTGGCTACTATGTTCCACGGATCCAAACCCCATCGAGAACTTTGCATTATCAAAGGGCATGTTTATGAAAACCGTAAGCAATTTTTTTACCAAATTGGAATTTTGGAAAGTAATATTAAATTTTTCCTAAGTAAATACATCTAAATTTTGGAATTATCTAATGCACATTATAAAATCCTTCAAGTTATTAAAGAGAATGGTAATTATATAATTAAATAATATTGCTTTTTCTCTTTTTCATTACTGCGTCCAGTTTGTCAAGGGTCGTTTTGTTTGTCATTTCTTTGAATAAATTATTGTTGAGTTTGTTACTGGCTCTCATTTTTATCCTGATATATCTTTACATTAATGTTTTAGATTATTGCATAAAATGTGGAAAGGCTAAAAACTTTTTCTTTTTAATTCATATTCAAGCATTAATTCTCTTTCATGCTATAACCTAAAATTTCAGAATATTCCACATACACAAAATATTTATATTTGACCAAACTGTCATTAATTTCAACTAATTCTTCTTCTTCTTCTTCTTCTTCTTCTTCTTCTTCTTCTTCTGCCATAGCTTATACTGATTTTTCAGATGATTGCATAAAATATAGAAACGTTTAAAAATGTTATTTTGTATCTGATCAAAATGTTCTTTTCTTTAATTCTTTCTTTAAGTTTTATTTATGTATTTATATTCGTATTATTGTTTTTTCTTTCTTTCTTTCTTTCTTTCTTTCTTTCTTTCTTTCTTTCCTTCTTCTTAATATTTCCATTTCTTCCAGCTCGACTTATTTATTAATATTTCCACAGTTTTTATTTTTTTTGTGTAGTTTTTTCTTTCTTTCATTCTTTTTCTTCATATTTCTGCGGTTTTTCTTTCTTTATTTCATCTTCTTGTTCTTTCTTTCTTCTTTTATTGCGTAATATTAGTAGCTTTTTTCTTTATAGTTTTCTTTCCTTGTTTGTTTCTTTCTTTCTTTATGTATTTATTTCTTAACATTTACTTATTCTTTCTTTTTTTCTTTCTATCTCAGTATTTATACTCTCTTTTTTCATCCTTTTTTGTTTGTTTGTTCTTTCTTTCTTCATATCTCCGCGCATTTTCTTTCTTAATTTCTTTCTTTCTTGATATTCCGAATTTATTTATTTATTAACATTTCCGCTGTTTTTCTCTATTCCTGAATATTCATACTCCTATTATTTTTTTCTTTCGTTTTTCCTTTCTTTTTCATATTCATACCATCTTTCTTTCTTTTTTCTTTCTTCCCAGTATTCATAATCTTACTTCCTTTTTCTTTCTTTCTTTCTTTCTTTCTTTCTTTCTTTCTTTCTTTCTTATCATTTCCTCAGCTATTCTTTCTTTCTCATCATTTCCTCAGTCATTCTTTCTTTCTTTCTTTCTTTCTTTCTTTCTTTCTTTCTCATCATGTTCATCTATTCTTTCTTTCTTATTATTTCCTCATTCTTTCTTTCTTTCTTTCTTTCTTTCTTTCTTATCATTTCCTCATTCTTTCTTTCTCATCATTTCTTCAGTCATTCTTCCTTTCTTTCTTTTTTATCATTTCCTCATTTTTTCTTTCTTTCTTTCTTTCTTTCTTTCTTCCTTATCATTTCCTCATTCTTTCTCTTTTTCTTTCTCATCATTTCCTCAGTCATTCTTTCTTTCTTTCTTTCTTATTATTTCCTCATTCTTTCTTTCTTTCTTATCATTTCCTCAGTCATTCTTTCTTTCTTTCTTTCTTTCTTTCTTATCATTTCCTCATTCTTTCTTTCTCATCATTTCTTCAGTCATTCTTCCTTTCTTTCTTTTTTATCATTTCCTCATTATTTCTTTCTTTCTTTCTTTCTTTCTTTCTTTTTTATCATTTCCTCATTCTTTCTTTCTTTCTTTCTTTCTTATTATTTCCTTATTCGTTCTTTCTTTCTTTTTTTCTTTCTTTCTTATCATTTCCAAATTTATTCTTTGTTTCTTTCTTATAATTTCCTCAGTCATTCTTTCTTTCTTTCTTTTTTCTTTCTTTTTTTCTTTCTTTCTTTCTTTCTTTCTTTCTTTCTTAGTATCTATACTTTCTTCTTTCTTTTTTCTTTCTTTTAGATATTTCCTCAGTCTTTCTTTATTATTTTTGATCAATTTCATTTATTATCATATTATTAATTTTATATTTAATAACTCTATAATAACTGTATTCCGCCAGTAATTGCGGAAATATATATGGGATATTCATGATATTATCTTAACTGGCATCATCCGTAGATATTCCACGGGTCCAGAAAGTATGGAATAATATTTCAGAGCATGACTTTCGAAAACAAGTCAAAACTAATCGTAAAACATTTCTCTCGTTACTAATTGTCTTGATCCAACTGCATATTTAGCCTCATTCAGTACATAAGGTGGCCATGATGAACAACAAAAGGTTTCATTATAATAGGAAATATTGATTAATATATTAGCGAAACTTCGAGCTCTTGCTGGGAACGCTTACAAACGTTTCTATTTATGGCGGTTAATAATCCTACGAATAATAAATGACACCTTTTGCTGATACGAGATACCAATCATCGTACGGTTCTTTCGGACGAGCATCATTAATTGGCTCTAATGCACAATTAACATAATCAAGCAGAGAAAACGATGAAAAAGCTCCAAATAAGAGTGTTACTATTACGAAGTAGAAATCAAACAATATGGTGGAGAAAAATGAAAGAAAGAAATGGTAGAAAAACTACAAGGTCTATGTTCGTAAAAGATGTGTTGATAAATGGTTAAGCCATCCCATATGAAAGAGGTGTTTTTATTAGAAGTTACAGCTTTCTGTTGATTTCATGTGATAGTTAAAGATCGTTAAAAAAGCAATGATGAAAAAATAAGAAATACCAATCGGAAAATGTGTAATACTAAAAATTCTTTATCACAGAATCGGGAAACAAGGATTATTCATCAGCAGAAGAAAAAATAGATCTGTTAAAAATGATGGAAATATCCCGCAAAAAGAGAAGCCTAACAGAATTTAGGACAAAACATGTAACAATGAAAGTACTTAATCTACAAATGATTTCAGAGTATTATTAAGTTAACAGCTGAAGAAGAATGCATCACTAGCAATGAAGGAATATAAAGCAATGAAAATTACAAAATTATTAAAATGGATAATACATTACAGCAAAATCTAAAAACAACTTCAGAATATTATGAGTTATTTAACAGCTGAAGAAGCATGGATCTGCTAAAACAGTTGGATAAGAAACAAAATGAAAAAAAACTAAATCAATAAAAATTACGGACGAAATACATAGAACGATTAAAATACTTAATCTTAAAATAACTTCAGACACTAATTTAATAGCCGAAGAAGAATAGATCAGCTAAAATGTGATAAAAAAACAAGATAAAAATGATGAAGATGCTATTCAAGCACTGAAGTAAAATGGGAGTAACAAAGCAAACAATATGGTATAGGAAAAACAGAAGGAAAAAGTGGCAGATTGATTCCAAGAAAATATCTTTGCCTAATCATAAAAAGACGTGTACCTAAATGTTTAAAGCATCCCCTATGAAAGAGGAGTTTCCATCTGAAGTTGTAATAATGATAAAACTTCATTTCAGAATTGGAAAGCAAGGGTATTACAAATAATTTAGCAGCAGAAGAAGAATAGATCAGCTAAAAGTGTTCATGATACAAAGTTGCATTAATAATAAAAGCATATGAGGAGAATTAAATCCACCTGGCTATACAGTTAATAACAAAAAAGTAAAGAATTGACAACTGAGTTCAAACTCAAGCTGGAGCAGTTTGCATTCATTTTACACTAACACTTTAGGAAAATGGAAAACAGTCTACTTCCTCTTTCAAGTAGAGATAAATATTTTTTTTCTAAATGACATGAAATTTCAGGATTTAAACAATCATGGCTCTCCACAGATTCCTTTTGTTTATTATCTGTAAATTGCTGTACATTTTTTGAGAAAGATTGTGGAGTGGAAGATAGCAACTTTTTAAAGGTAGTCCAACTTGAGTGTTCAATGATAGATCAGATCAGGGATCATTACTTGTGGCTGTTACTATCTAACCCAGTAAAACCTGTTGCAGTCTCTTACTTGGAGGGGAGAAGGGTACTGCCAAGTAATGTGTATTGTCCTGAGAGAAGATATGAGGATTGATTGGCTTGTTTTCTACGGCTTATCAACCCTTTTCAGGTTATTTAAAGCCAGAAAATAGTTTTAAGTTGTAACTTTTTGGAGGGTTGGCGGAGATAATAATGTTTTATTGATAGGAATCTTAAAATAACTTCAGATACTAATTTAACAGCTAAACAGATCAGTTAAAATGATGTGATAACACGCTATTCGAACACTGAAATAAAATGGGAGTAACAATGAAATGTTTCCACTTAGAAGCTCCAAATTGATTACTGTGCTATTATTACACTACCTGCACGCCCAAGCTTAGTATTCCTAAGTGAACACCGATCAAGATATTGACCATGTTCATCGTTGCTTAATTTCGGTGATCATATGGGAACCAGTGTTTCAACAAGATACGGCCGTAAGCCAGCTATGAAGGAGAAAGACTCAGTATGGCACACTGATAATC